CCATTAAAAGGAATTCTAAAAACAAGTAATAAAAGTATAGAATATGAATCAGATGATAATTTCGTTCACACGAAATATTTAAACACACAAAATAGTGATAAAGATCATTCGATAAAATCGATGATAGCTACAGATTCAACAAAATTAACACACAAGTTATTTATGAGAGCAGAACCAGAAAGAAATGAAAAGTTACGAATGCTGGTCGAAGAACAAGGTAATATACGAGCGAAATTTACTACTGATGATGTAGAAGAGATAAAAAAGGAAGATATTGCTGATATGAGACAAACAAGCATGAGGGCAAGACTTCAGAGTATGTTTGATGCCATATCTGGTAAAGGTAAGCAAATTTAATCTATAAGTACATTGATTTTTAATTTAAGACTATTCGTTTGCGTTTTTAGCGGCCAGTCAAATAAATCCGGACGTGGTAATTCAAGCAGAAGAAGTAAATATTGTTAAACCTGTTGCATGTCCTGTCACTTGTGTGACACTTAATTCTTCGACTACTACAACAAACGTCAATACCACACCCATTTCTACATCGGCTGTAGCTCCTAATCCTGGTACTAGTGAATTCAATACAAAGTCACCAAAACATGTGACTTTTAATTTATCAGATAAAGATAGTTCCTCAAACACAAATGTCCATTTTGCTACTATATTTAAGAGTAAAAACGGAAGCATTTCGACTTCCGTAGCAAATAAAATAGATAATGCTGCACCTAAAATTACATTAACCAGTACAAAATCCGAAATTATATCTCAATCTGTTATTTCGAATACAACTACATCCAGTCCAATAAATTCGAATATACAAACATTTAATTTCGACAAATCTGCTTCGGTTACATCAACGGCAAGTACTTCGCCAATACGTGCTGTAGATACAGTTTCTGCAAATAACAAATCTCTTTCAGTCACTTCCGCAACAACCAACATTTTTGGAAATGTTGTAACCGCTACTCCAATATCTTCACCAGTATCTATGAGCACAACTATAGCAAACGCGAAAACCGAAGCGAATCAAAATATCTCGAAATCAATTTCTCAAAATACAACAATTAGTTCAAATTCGAATGTATCGATTGGAAATAATAACATAATTTTCACATCAACTCATTCGAATTCAATGACTTCAAACACTGTTGCGAAAAGCAAAGAACAAAGTATAGAATCAACATCGATTGCTGCTAAGATAAATATGACACCATTTACGAGTATTACAAATATTGCTAATTCGAATGCTAATACATCGACTACAACGTCGACCATAACGACATCGATTGTATCTACATCAAATGTAACCACGTCAATTCCATCATTTACGTTTGGAAACAATGCTAATAAACAAGTAATGACATCCAAATCAGAAGGATTTGTGTTTGGTTCAGTAGGTAAAACATCAGAAAATAATGGAGCGTTTGGATGTTTGACAACCTCTCAACAGGTTTCAATAATTACTAACACAGTGATGACATCTTCGAATAATCAAAGTAATACGCAAACTAATTCTATCACGAATGTCACAACTAGTACTGGTTTTCAATCGAATACAAAAACTAGTATTCCTACTTTTGGATCATCAACAAATTCGACTTTTGTATCTTCTACCATCTCATCCGCAAACGACAGCAAACCTGGTTTTTCTTTCAATAATACATCATCAGCAGCAAACACAGTGGCTGGAAACTCAAATACAACTCTATTTACTATTGGAAATAATAATTCGAGTTCGAGTTTCGGAACACCATCTTCAATAACCAGTTGTAATACAGCCCAGTTTGTTTCAAATACTGGTTCCATATTCACCAATTCACCATCTACACAATCTATTTTTGGTGCAACGACGACAAATTCAACTCAATCAGTTTTTGGTACACCTTCGAGTTCAAATACTACAACAGCTATCTTCACTCTTCCTAAGAGCACAATTACATCAGTTTTCGGTTCCAATGTTTCCACTATTTCAACAGGATTCGTATCTACGAATTCGATGCCAATTTTTTCGAATATCGGTGGATCTTCTATACAAATAACAAATACAACTTCAATACCAGTGTTTGGTTCTAGTACAAGTTTATCCACTTCGGGAATGGGAACCAGTAGTGGAACGAACAACGTCGGTACTAATTTGTTTTTAAATGTGAATTCAACTACTTCGGCATCTATATTTCCTACAACAAGTAATATTTTTGGCCAAACAAATTCATCAACAGGGAATTTCAAAAATAATCCAGGAGTATTTGGAAATAACAGTGGTTCTGCATTATTCGGTTCGCATCCAACTACGTCATCTACATTTGCTACTGCAAATGTTTCAAGCAATTCTACTGTTTCTACTTTTGGTTCTACAAACATTTCCGTAAGCAACGCATCCGTCCCGACTTTTGGCGCTACAAATACTGTTACTTCTGATTTTGGATCACAAAATCAAAACAAAGGAAATTCAGAAGTTCAGAATTCTGATTCACAGAATTTCGGTGTCAGAAATCCAATATTCAGAGGCGAGAACACAGCTGGTCCCGTGTTCGGAGCTTCAAATAGTGGTACCAGTCATTTCAATTCTTCAGCATCAAATAATACATTTTCTGGGCAGAATACCTCTATCTCATCGAATCCTACATTTGGTATGACAGCAACTGGTACTCCAAACGGTACAGCAACATTTGGAGACAACAAGGTTTCGCCATTCGGATCACAATCCTCGACATTTGGAACTCCTAATATAACGAGTCCCACCTTTGGAAATACTAACGCGAATGAAAGTAATACTACCAGCAGTATATTCACCTTTGGGGCAAATCAAAAGCCATCACAACAAAGCACTACTGTATTTCCTTTCGGTACCAATAGTAATACTAACAATAATGCTGCTATTGGCGCAGCTGCTTCCACTTCCTCACCTTTCCAATTTGGCACAACAACGTCGAATTCAGGTAAGATTTTTTATTTTGATTATATAATTATAATTTTTTTCTTTTCATAATTACTAATATAATGTATTTAAAATAAATTAGCTACAGGATTTAATTTCTCCGCTCCATCAACAACTCCATCCATTAATTTTGGAACAACGAGTTCTACATCAACATTCAATGCTCCCACACCTGGTATGTTCAGCATCGGAAGTGGTTCTACTGCTCCAAGATCCAGGAATATACGGACTAGAAAATTGAGATGATGGAGAATGTAAATCTTGCTAGCCTTTTACATAAAGTTCTTCATCGAAATACATAAACGCGACGTTTAATTTTTTAATACTGTTATTCTGTAATTCTAGTATCATAATTTCATAGATTCGTGTCAAGTAATGTTTCAAATCGATGCAATTCTATTTGACTGAAAACAGAATTATAGAATAGAATTATCATTTTAATTTTACATTTTTCGCCATTGTTAAACCTATCCACCTTGTACATATGAAAATGTTAAAGCAGATTTTTATCTATCAATGATTAAAGTTTGCTTAAATTGCATTATTTAGAATACATAATACATATATACATATACAAATACGCACATATATATATATATATAGAAAAATAAAACGCGTGATTGTTTTATTAAAAAAAAATTAACATTAAAATCGTGTTCATTTACAGAACACTGTATATTTAACATTCATTGATCCACAGTGATTGCAAGCAAAATTATTATTTATTTTTACAAAATATCAAGTTGATAAATATTAAAGATTAAACTTTATTTAAGTGGCATTTATAATATTCAATTAAAAAAGTAAAACTAAAGAGAATTTTGAATATATGATATTTAAATTTATTTTGCAAAGATGAAGAAAGTTAAACAAACGAAGTTGTATATTTTGATAATGTAAAGAAAGTGATTTTCAGAAATCCTCACTATTTCGATAAATATATTTTTAGATTTGAAAGTTGAGATTAATATTGTTAATTCTAATCGCATATTTCTTAAGTTCAGTATACTTAAATTGTTTATAAATTTGATCAGAAATATTTATATTTCCTATTTGGTACGTATTTCATATTCGAAATTAAAACTTATTCATTGAAACGACAATTATTTATCTTGTTCCTCCGAGAGAAACAAATAAATAATTAGAAAGATGAATGGATCAAAAAAAAAAAAAAAGGAATCAAGAAAATTAATATTTGCTAATTGATAATAAAATGAGAAAAATACTAGATTTCGTGATTCGTGAATCATATCCGATCAAGAAACATAAAATACTCAATATGACATGAGAAGAATGTTATAGAAAGATAAGATGCACAAATGTGATTTATTATGTCAATTATAAGAAATATTCAATTATTTTTTCTCTACAATCTCAGGCAGATTTATCTTCTTAATGAAACGTTATAAAATTTGAAAAATGAAGTTCGAACAGAAGTACGAGTATCATATCATATATGATTAGCATTTTATATTTGCAATGACAATCTTTCCTGACAATCTTCGTCCTTGGTTGCTCATTAAATTAATTTTATTTTTTTATATATTCGCTATAATTTTATTTTATGATTCATCATTACATGAATTTTATTGTCAAATATTCATCAAGTAGAGATTATACAAATAGTAAATGCATTTTTTCTCTCTACACATCTTATAGGTATTATATGTATTCTGAAAGGATATGATATGTGAAATTTGCTTAATATAATCAGTATCGTGAATATGGTTATAATCGTGAATAGTATGATTTAACTTTTAATGTTGTTATTCTAATAACTGGGTTGAACTTATATTTCAAAAATAATAATTATTCTAATAGACGAATTTAACATATAATAATAATATTCATAGTTTACAAAATACATTTAGATATGAAATGATGTTGCATTTCCGTTAGAAAAATGCTTTTGAATGATATAATAAATCGCATAAAATAAAAGAAAAAATCAGAGATAAAATTACAAAACTTTAATTACATTTTTATTTAATAAAATTCGAAGTAATTAAGCGAGAAAATAAGAGAAAGAAGGTGGAATAAAGTAGAATAGTTTGCAATCGGTATAGAAGATCGAGCAGGAGAGAAAAGGCGCGCGCGGTAAAAGGAGCAAGAAAGCACGAGAAAAAGCGAGCAAGCGAGAAAGAAATCAAGGAAGTAACGCGTGAGTTACGTCACGCGCGTTCCGTGAAACTCTAGCCAGGATTGGTCAAATGAGCGGTTTTGTTTGTGAGCCAACCTATCAGAGAGCTCGTTAGACAGGAAGGATGTTTGTACGGTCGCCTGGAGGCGCAGCCATGTTGGGAACATTAGAAGGGAACCAACACCACAACCAGAAAGACGGGAACATCTAGGTTCGGCAGCGGCGTGTCTTAACACCTTAACACCACCACCATGGCTGACCCGGAAAAACAGCCCGAACAACCAAAGGCTGGCCAGCAGAAGCTGATCATCGGTGAGTGAATAGTATATTTAGTCTCAATATCATTTTTCGTGTATTGCAGCGGTGTAAAAATCGAGTAGAAAGAGAGCGGATTCGTTTCTCTGAGATCGTTTGCATGTAATAATGGCGTCTAGGGGAGCAGCAGACGTTCAGCCATGTGGCATGTGGCCGGCAAGCCGGCTACTATTTTTCTTTTCTTTATTTATATCTTTTCGAATTTTTTGCATAGAAATTGATTAAATTCGAAATTTATTCTTTCCCCACTTGTTTTCTCCTTTTTATTTTTTATTTTATTTTGACTAAAATAACTTGCACGATAGTCTCATCGACTGCCGAGTTCTACTAAAATTTCTTGATTCCTAGAGAGAAAGAGGAGAGAGAGAGAGAGGGAAAGAAAGAGACGCGTATATCAAAACCCGTATAGACGCTTCAAAAGTATACACTCGTCTCGATTTTATTTCTTTTCTTTTTTTTTTATTTTATTTTTATTCTTCCTTATTCCTTCCTTTCACTTTATCTCTATTTGTATCGAATATATATAAAATAATAATAATCTGAAATTTAACGATTACATCATAATGTTTCAATTTCTGGAAATTTCTTTGCTGTTTTTCTTTCCGCGCGTTCTCGATGTATTTTTCGTAAATCAAGCAAAACACCACTTTAGTTACGTAAGTTTCCGACTGTCCGTTAACGTTCACTTCCGTTTGAATGATTCGTTTTCGGAGCAAACCGGGCGCGTTGCCATCGTCAGCTTCCACTTTAGATTGGCCTCGCGAAAAGTTTTCTACGAGTGAAAAATGAACTGCAATTTCAAGAGGTTATGAGGAATGAAAAGAAAGGGAAACGTGCACGCGTCTGCATGCATCAATATACCGTTATTTTACCTGATATTTTATATTTCGTATTTCACTTCAAACGCGCGAAATGTGATCTAAGTGCAAATCGTCGGTGGAAACCGTTAATGAACGAAATTCTAGAAATGTGAGCGTATTGTTTTCATCTCTAGTGAAAACATTGGTAATATAAAGCATTTGCTATGTGAACATCTAATCTAACAGTTTGAATAGTTCGTTTTTAATTGTCACTACCATCACAATAATTAGTAAACACAAAGATTTCGAACATAAATAGAGTTATGAATATGATACGAAGTAAACAATTGTTATTATCATTTAATTGTCGATCTATACATATATCTATTTACATACTTCGATTTTGAAATTGCTATTTAATCAAAGAAATAGAAATTTTTAATTTATCACCAATATTGATATTTTTTTTTCATATCATTATTATTTTCGATTTTTACAATTATTGTTTGAAACGAACTTTTCGTAAAACGATCAAATACAAATAAAATGACACATATTCAAATTGCTTCGAATTTCCAAGAAATGACTTAATCAAATTTAAGAATGCGTTTATCGAATAATACCGGGTTGCGTGATGGTAGATATTTAATTAGTGCCATTTCGTTTTTGTTGGGTTTCAGCTAACAAAGTGACCGGGACTGTGAAGTGGTTCAACGTGAAGAGTGGGTATGGATTCATCAACAGGTTAGTAACGATTTACTATTTTCCGCGTCATGTTTTCTTTTTTTTATCTCTTTTTATTTTTTTTTAATTTTATTTTTTCCTTAATATTCATTACAATAATATTTTTTTTTTCTAACTGCGACATTTCTATCATCATCTATGGCAAATTAATTCAAAATTAACCGGCATTTTAATTTTGTTACAAAAGGATCAATCTTGAAGACAGATTTGACAAAACGATTTTTAATAATGCAAATTCACTTCTGATTTCTTTGAGTCGAGCGTTTTAATATTTATTACAAATAACAGGCGTTTTGTTTGACACGTGCATCGATCACATTTATTCGTTCACGGTTCCTCTATCTTCGACTATTTCTAGTACTCTTCTATTCACCCCCCCTCCTCCTAGTTACTGTACCTCACCTCATACCACTTCTCTACTACTTCTTCCCTTTCTTCCTCTTCTTTACCTTTCTCTTGTTGCTTCTTCGTAATATATACCGATATATATATAGGTAACGATATAACGCATTATGCGTTTGGAAAGTAGCCAAAGCGTGTTGTATGTTATGATACGATTTTCGTAACATTGCAGTTAATAAAAGTTTACCCATAGATTGGAGAAAATATTTCGTGATAAAAATTTTGCCACTGATCATTCGCACCGTTGTTCGCGTTCATTGCGCGAATTAAACGGAATAATTTCAAATACCGGTGGTAAAGAAAATGATTGTCTGAATACCCATTGGATCGCACGTAACAAATTTTAGCATTCGATCCATGTTCTCAGACGCACAAAATTTTCGTATAATCTTGAAACTTATGTATTTATGAATCATAAATGAATTCGCTTTCTATAATCAATCGATAATCATATACAATTTGTTTGATTTTTTTCTAGGAATGACACCAAGGAAGACGTGTTTGTTCATCAAGTAAGTATATTTAATTTCATAATTGTTCAGAAGAAACGAAGAATAAATTTGGATTGAATTTTTAAATTTTTGATCGTGTTAATAATTTTCACAGTCAGCCATCGTGAAGAACAATCCGAGAAAGGCTGTACGCAGTGTCGGTGATGGAGAAGTTGTCGAATTTGACGTGGTAATAGGCGAAAAAGGTCACGAAGCGGCCAACGTTACTGGTCCATCCGGGGAAGCAGTAAAAGGTTCGCCTTATGCTGCCGATAAGCGACGCGGATATCGCGGAGGTCATTGGTACATCAGTCAAAGACGTGGGAACACTCGAACTCAACGCAGACCTAGAGAAGGTCAGGATGGTTATGAAACTGGTGTGTAATAAGTGATAGAACGATATTGCCTTCTCGATCGAATTGATAATTTGTCAATCTGTTTTAGGTGAGGGTAAGACCGGGGACGAAGGAAACGTCGGCGAGGGTGGCGGACAACAACGACGTTACAGAGTTCGACGACAGTACGACGGCTACTATCGTGGATCACGCCGTTCTGGTCCGTCCGCGCAACAGCAAGGGGATAACTCTGGCGAAGGTGGCGAGCAAGGTGGCGAGACTGGCGGTGACGGTGGCGTGCCACGTGGTGGCGGCCGTGGACGCGGAGGACCTTCTCGTCGTTACTTCCGCCGTAATTTCCGTGGAGGAAGAGGTGGCGGACCTCCGCGTCGTCCTCGTAGCCAGGACGGCCAAGTAAAAGTCCGTAACAATTTTCTTTTGACTTAATTTATTTTCTTTATCGATTTTCGCGATATTATCATTATCATTATCACCAAATTGATATAAATTTTGTTCTTCGATCTTTGCTTTCTATCGCTCCATTTTACGCGAGATCGTCTTATTTGGATCTATTTCTCTATCGATCATATTTCAACATTTGTTTCTCCCATTTCGATTGGCATGAATTTCGGACATCGATTAATGAAAGGGATTATTTAAGAGTCGCGACATTAACGCCTTTCCGATCATAATATAAATTGTGGCTACCGTTTCACCTAACCTAGTAATTTCGATAATCCTGCATGGTAGTTTTCGTAATCGTAGTCTATATCACCGTTCATAATTTAATGAAGAATTTTCCTTTTGATTTTCCTGCTAGATACGATAAATTCGTGGTAGATGTAGAGTCATGTTGATATACTTTATTAATCGTTCAATGCATTATCGCTATCGCTCTTTCTAAATTTATGAAGGATTATTTTACTGGTGTATATTGAATATTGGCATTTATCAAATTGAATTCGAGTAATCGTTACTTTTAATTAATTATAAAGAGCGATGCAAGTAAGAATGGTTGTTTGGATCGATTAGAAAATTAGAGTCCGAGATTTATGCATTGTCTGTTTTTCAAAACCTTTCATTTTCTTTGTACGATACACTTGTAAATACGTCCATCATCATCAACGGATCGCACATACTACGTATTTCTTCTGCTCCTGTGTTTTATTCTATCTTATTTTATTTATACAATGTCTTAATTTAGTTGTTTGTAATTTGTTTCTTTCTTTGCATCTTTCTCTGTTTTTTTCTTTCTCTTTCTCTCCTTTATGTCTGCTTCTTTATCTAGTTATTTCTGTACATATGTACTAATAAAAAATATATATAGAGTAATATATATATATATTTATGGAATATCTTTAGTGGATCGATTCTAGAAATCAAAACAAATATAAAAGTTTGTTATATAAAAATGTTGTTTGATTGAAGTTTACTTATTAGGTTATAAACAATTTAAGCAATTCGAAGCGAGACAGAAAGAATGAGATCGCATTTTGTTCTCGTCTTGTTTCGTCTAACAATTTATAAGTAAACTTTAATTGCTTATAATTAAATAAGCCTCAATTGATATTTTTGTATATCACAACTCTTATATTTGTTTTGATATTTGTAAAAGTATCGATTCCGTAAAGATATATTCTACTAATATAATAACACATACATATATACAAAATACCTTCGAAGCTTAGTACAAAAGCGATTGGATGGTGATTCTATATGCAAAAATAAAAAAAAAAAAAGAATAATTTGTTTTTTTTTCAAGTAAGATTTTGTTTTGTAAATTAATTTAATAAATCAAATTTAAAAAAAGTTTCAAATGCAAAGGAAAACTAGTTGTTTGCCGATTATAAATAAGAATGAATTATCGATAGAAGATAATTCTTCATGTAAAAATAAGTAAAAAATATAGAATATCTTTTTCCTTTAAAAATTAATTTTTCAGAAAATTGGATTTGAAGATTCAACGATTAGATTCCTTGATACAATAAATATTCAATCTACTTTTTCAAAAATAAGAATATAAAATTTTTTTTTATTTCTATGTATCATATATAACTACCTGTCAATAATTCGTTTCAATAGGATATTCAATCAGGGAATTAATCAATTTTACTTTTATTTGAAAAATTTTTAAACATGATTTACTTGGAAATGAAAAAATGTTATTTCTTTTTTTTTTTCCCCCGATTTATTTTTGCATGTATCATCAATCACTATTCGATCATGTGTACCATGATTTCCGGGACATTCTGTATATATATATATATATGTTATTTTTTTTTTTTTTTTCCAGTTAGTTTCTGTTGTATCACGCGATTGTTCGGTCCGTTGACGAATCTTTATCGTAGCGCTTAGCACACACTATTTGCACGTATCTTTTTTGTACTCTTTTCAGTCGGAGCAGAAGTCGGATGCACCTAAAGATAAGGATGCACTTGTCGATGTCCCTGCTCCACAGGTAACATGGCTTTATTTTTCTCTCTTCCCTCCTCCATCGTTCTTTCGATCGTACACGCTATCCTGTACTTTTCCATTTTCACTACAACTCAGTTTTCTGCTCTTTTCTTTCTTTCTTCTCTTTAACATCTTGGGGTTAGTTCTCTCTTGGTATCACAATAGCCACCAATCCTTATCTGCTGTGTTTTCTTTGTTTGTGTGATTCGTTGCTTTTCATTCGTTCGCGTTCTTATATTTGTACTTTTTTTTTCAGTGTAAGGTTACTCATGTTTTATCATTGTGAATTGGCCCGGTTTTCTTCTATTTGACCAGAATTGTAAGTAATTGTTAAATCTTATTCGTTTGATTTGCAGGAAAGTCAGCCGGTCCAAAACACCACCACCGAAAGCACCGCTTAACCACAAGAGTAATGGTACCACTACAACAAAAACACTCCTTTTAATATATAACACCAACACCCGTTATACACTGAAGCAACAGCATCGACAACAACCGCAGCAGCAACAATGTAACATAACAATTGAAAAAGTTAAAAAAAAAAAAAAAA